CTGGTGCAAATTACTGACCTCTGTCATCATTTTAAGTGGGGGAACTTGCACAATCGGTGGCTGACTAAATACTTTTTTGCCCCACTGTAGCTGTTGTACCACACTCAGAAATGTGGATTTGCTGCAAACCAAAGTGATTTTTCTAGTCATAGGATATGGGCCATAGTTATGTAAACCGCATTCTTGTTTTTGTGAAGAAGTCCCAGATTTAACTAAGAGTAGGGATAAGTCAATAGGCCAGACACATTAAAATGCAGTGAGAGAACTACAAAAACTTACCCTGATCCCCTGTGATTCTCTGATGATGACGAAGTTGTTGAGCAGGCAGAGTTCCGGTTGGAGAGGTCCAGCACACCATCTGTTACAAGACAAGTGGTCAGAGTCTGAGTGCCAGTTGTTTGGTTCCTTCAGGAGGATGCCCATGTTACAGTCAGACGTAACATTTAATTTTATATGTGTGCACTAAATGCGTTCTCTACCTTCGATCGTGTTCTCCTCCTGAGTTCGGTTCACTGTGAGGTCCAGAGGGGCGTCAGATGCTTCGGACGCGTCAGACAAGGGTGATGAGGTCCTTGTGACACCATTTGTATTGGTGTGGAGCAGGCACTTGGATGCATACTCCTTAGCAAATGTGGTTATCATCTTCTTCATCAGCTCCTGAGCAATCTGAGGTATGTTGGAATCACTGCTCAGGTGCACATCTAACAGGAGGAGAAAGAAAAAAATACAATTAAAATCACTGGTTTCAATTTTAACATGCATTATTTAAAGGACTAGAAAACTGATAGGAAAAACTGATCTAGAAAACAGTGTTTAAACAGCGTTTTAAATGAGATATTGAAATTAAATCCACTGTAACAAAAAATGTCTTCTGATGTCACCACACTAGAAACAAGCATTTCAAAAGCATCCTAAGTCTTTGGGAACACTTAGTGGGTCATGAATAGCAGAGATTTGACATGCCAATTACACCACAGTAACCGCAATTTGTATTAGGTCAATAATGTAATTCAGTTCATTGTGTACATCAGTAGACAGGAACTGTGAGATACTCCTCTCCGGTTATTCCCCACATTAATATTTATGTCAACTTTGGCTGTTGTTTTCAGTATAGGAGTTCTTAGTATATAAACAGTTCTACATAACAACGAGGTTGTCCAAATCCACCTGACTCACCTTTCTTGTGGAACACAGCTTGGAGGAACTTGTGTGCTGATTGGGTGCTCTCAGAGATGGTTGGGGCCTGACAAGGTGAGTAATCAGAGGGGGAGGAGAGGGGCGACGTGGCTGCAGGTGCTTGATCCTAGAGAGGATGATAAAGAGGAAAAAGAAGAAGATACAGAGACAGAAAGGTGATTACTTATTTAGAATTATTTTTTACTCTAGGGTGCAGAGAAAAGAAAGACAACCTCTCTGAGGCTTATCAAAACTAAAGTCCTTACACTAGATTTGTCCAGGAGCACGTTGCAGAAAGAGCACGGAGAGCAGTTTGATTCTGGAGACCAGTCATCTACCTCTTCCGGTTCACAGTCTGAAAGACACAATATCGCATAACCATGTATTACAGTACTGCTGATGGATCAAACCAAAACTGACAACAGGCAGCAGGGGTTTCTATTCTGTTTCCTTATACCAGCCACTTCAAATGCTGCTGACACAATACTAATCTCATTATGAGCCACACTATCATATATATAGACAATACACACGGAAGAATGACTAGAGTTTTTCATAAGTGGCATCTAAAATCAATTAGCTGCTACTCTTTTAATATTGATTTCAATAGAATGGTTTTGATTAACAGTTTATCATGCTTGTCCTTTTTATAACCAGTTAAAGTGACCGTCACTCCTGCCTCAATGAACTCTACATAACTGTTTAACACCCCCCCTTTTTTTTTCAAAATACACTGAACAAGAACTGCTTTTACAGCTACTCTCAACCAGAACGTTTGTTGCAGTAGCTCATCTATTGCAGATCAGTGCCTGTAAAATGACAAATGTGACCCTGAACACAAACTGTGCCCACAATCAGTTTGATTTAATTCCAACTAATACTGTAGAAGGTGTAGTGAATCGTGTGAATGCGGACAGCAGAGGTGGGTAGTAACGAGTTACATTTACTCTGTTACATTTACTTGAGTAAGTTTTTGAAAAAAATGTACTTTTAAAGTACCCTTTTTCCACAATACTTTTTACTTTTGAGTACATTTGTGAAGAAGAAACGGTACTTTTACTCCACTACATTTGCAAAATTCGACTCGTTACTTTTTTAAAAAATACTTAGTTTAACACATTAGATAACATGCCGCCAGTGGAGTTTCCGGTAACTTTTTTACCAATCAGATGTGGCCATGCAGTCACATGACCAGTTTGAAACTGTGGCGGGCAGAGGGGCCCAAGTATTTCAAAGTAGCGAGCCAACTGTCTACACAAGAGCTGAAGAGGATGAACACCCTTGGCCTCATATACAAAGAATGTTTTGCTTAAAAGCAATACAATATATATATAAATACTATATTGTACGAACGTGATAATTATATTTTACGAACATGATAATTATGTATACTGTAAAGGTATATTGCACTAACATGAAAAGTATATTGTTAGAACAATAAACTTTTCACGTTATAACGTGATATAACTATTTTTCTTTTGCCTGGGTGGCAGCTCTACGCTTACGTACTCGGATGAGCTTGCCATAGTTCTACAAGTTGTGCCTCCATATCACACGCTGCACTGCCGTGCTGCTCCGCCTTTTCACTTTCATTTCTGTGTTTGTGCGTGCGCAGTGTGAGAGGGTGCGTTGAGGGGCAACAGGATTTCAAACAGGTTTGATGTTCTTGCGACCATACGATTGATGATTGGGAGGTGGTTGTAAGGTCTTAATTGCTTTTCGTTAACCCATGTATACTACACGATGCAGGACACACGGTTAAGGCGAAACTCGGGCCGATCCCCAAAACAGTTGCGCGACTGAAAAAATGGGCCAAAGAAATTGCACAATGTATGCTAGGACTGTGCAATATAACCAAAATCTCATATCCCGATATAAGAATTCTATCGTCCGATAACGATATAAATCACAAAAATGTAACATTTTCTGTAAATTCTGTGAATCTCGGGCAGCTCGACTTGCGGAAAGTGTTTCCAGCTGCGCGTCATGTAGCTGGAGTCGAGTGTTTTAACAGATGCATGAAATGATACATTTTTAGACATAAGTTGTAATGGCCGCCGTTTTCTTTGTGAGTATTTATTACACAGCGTGCTGCGGGGAAAAGCCTGTTCTAACGTTTGAGTCTAAGGTTTATTTTTTACCACCTGGCGGCTCTTTTTTAATTCTCATCCATAAATAATCTGCTGTTTCACGTGATTCAGTTTATTTTGAAAAGTCTCAACAGGATCTTGAGTTTTATTGTGAAAGGTTTATGTGGAACATTAACAAGCGGACACGCGATGCTGTTACCGTCGTTGTTGCTAACGACAACACATAAAAACAGGCGCCTGTCCGTCCGTAGTGTGGTTATATAAAATATAAGAGAAAGAGAGAACTTTAAGAAATTAATATAGCCACTACAGTGACCATCAAAACGATGAAAAAATATTGCCGTAAACAGTTTATTTTGCAACACCACGAAACAAACGATAGCGTAAAATGAAACGATAGATGTTTTTATATCGTCATCCGATATATATCGTTATATCGAACAGCCCTAGTGTATGGCCAGCTTTTGCTAGCTTCATCCGTCTCCCTCCCCTGTGGTTGGAAGGGGCGCGTTTTATCTTTTTGCAGCCAGACTGAGGTGTTTGCCTTCTCAAGACAGCCATGGAGAGATTAGAGGCTACATTGTAGCTCCAGTCACAGCTTCCATCACTGTCTTTCTTGTCTTTCCCAGAGTAACAGCCAAACAGTGCGAGGAGGATCTATTGGCTAGCACTGCTTAGCCTTGCACGCGTTCTTATTTTAAACTTAATCTGGAATTAATTACAAACTGTTTATGCGGGATATGAATGACAAGATTTTGTTTTTCAACAAGAGTTAGTAAAAAACATCTCCAGTGTGATCAAATTTTCTTGCCAAACATCCGCAGCTTGGCAGTGTATACAGCACTATAATGACCAGACCTAATTCTTTTGAAAACCATACATCATACAGGTCTCAACTTCATCAGACATCACCTAGACACAGAGCTGGATGATGCCAGTACAAACAGTGGCCTAACCGACAAAGATGATGGATCCATGGGGTCAGGAAAGCCAGAAGCAGGGGAGCTGGAGAGGTACCTTTCATGTCCATTCACTGGAGGTGTGGATCTATTGCATGGCTTTCCTCACATCAAGAAGCTGTCAATCAAAATCAATACAGCTCTTCCTGCATCTGGAGCTTGTGAAGGACTTCTCAGTCATGCAGGACTCCTGTTCACTGCTAAACAGTTACAGCTTCACAGAAAGAACCTTGAGAGCAAACTGCTGCTGAAGCTTAACCATCACTTCACTCAGTGAGGAAATGGCACATTTTTGCTAAATATCCAGAAAATGCACACCCATACAATTTATGGTAAACTGAGCTGCCTTGTATGAACATATGTTGAAGATGCCTCGTTCTAATGTTTTCTCTGAGGCTGCTGTGCCATTTGGAGCAAAAATGAATATAAAGTTTACAGCATATCTTGTCACTGGAAATTGTTTGCACTGTTTATATATTTATATTATCTACTGTAGGTATTGGTGAAAAAAGCTTTATGTTGTGAAAAACTGAAATCAGAATTGTTGTGCCTTATTTTGTTGATCTTTTTACATATATTCCTTTTGAAAATACTAAAATTTGTATATTTATTTATTTTGTTTGTCTGACAGCATTTATTTATAAAATAAATCGGACATTTCAAACAGTTACTCACTAGTTGAGTAGTCTTTTCGCCAACTACTTTTTTACTCTTACTTGAGTAACTTTTTTGACGACTACTTTTCACTTTTACTTGAGTAATAATGTTTTAAAGTAATGCTACTCTTACTTGAGTACAATTTTTGGATACTCTACCCACCTCTGGCAGACAGACACATGATGCCTCATCATGGTATATGCACACCTCACCTCTTGTGTGATTAGATGACATAGCATTAAAAAGAATACTGAAAATATAATTTTCCAACCTTATACATTGAGCTGTAAATGTATAACAGAATAAAATGTCCTATAAATTATATATTTTATATTATCTGCATATGACCCATTGCCCCAAATTGTTTTAGATACATTTTAAGTAACCATCTTGCTCTAATCCAAGTGTATATTACATGAATACATCACTGATTGAAGAAGTGATTAAAATCAGACTTTCGATATGATGCTGCATTATATGTAAATGCCTACAGTTGCCAGTAATTTTACTGTTGCCAATAGTGTGCTGCACCCTTGTATTTAAACAGCAACATCAGCTGCCACTGCATTTGACTTTTTGAGCTAAAATGTTTCTGAGGTTGGATGTCCCTACACCCATCAGCAGTTTACTTCATATCATGGAAAGCCTTGCTATGATTTTCTTAAAGGTACATGTAATATCAGTTTTCCAGAATAATTTTAGACCGATGCCTAAAATACTATGAATTAAAGTGTAAAGGATATTTTGGTACTTTGAAGGCACAATTTATATGAATTAAGTATATTTTAATTTCATATTGTTAGTACCGTATTGTTTTGGACCATAAGGCGCATTAAGCGAAACAAGCATTAGCATTTATCCTCCAGCTTCACTGTTTATGTTATGCTAGCATAGCTATGTCGCGAGCAATCACATAGCACAGCATTATATACCAGCTAGTCCAACATCAGTAACCCTACAAAAGTCACTGCTGTTTAGTTTTCTGTCTTCATTTATGTTGGAAGTTATAGCAGAGCTGTATGTTTATATTTTTCACAAATCACTCACTCAAAACGTGGTATACCATGTTTAGGTGGAAACTAGCGAGCTAACTTCCTGCTAACTTCTAACTCCGTTAAATTTAAGAAATTCTGTTTTCATGGATACCTGGATGTTAAACTTAATTGTTACACCTGGTAAAGCAGCAACGCTGATGATTTTATTAAAGATGAAAGAATTTAGACAATTTGTAACTCTCAGTGTTCGTTTGACTTTGAGACCTGAAGCAGACGCAGCTTTGGACCCAGATTACACCGCGAGGCTCCTGACTACGGTACCCGTAATCCTCCGACAATACATCAAGCGGTGCGGCTTCGTAGCTAAATTTGTACTAAAACATTTTTTGTCAGATTTGTGAGCGCTGTGTACCCCATAAAATTGGTTCGAGGTCAGTAAGCACAACCAGAATTCATACTTAAGGCACACTGTGGATTTTTGAGAAAATTAAAGGATTTTAAGTATGCCTTATAGTGTGGAAAATAAATTATTAAGGGTGGCAGTAAAAAAAAATGTTGCACAGTGGTGTTGCGCTGTCTTATCATTCATTTAAGATAGATTTTTTTCCCACCCTAATCTTGTCTTAAGTGAATGTTTCACTGATCAAATCATCCACCCTGCCAGGAGTCTATCACGTCATCTGACTAGGTTCCAGTGTAGCCTCACTCAAACTCCAGATGACACTGCAGACTTCAATGAGATCCCAGACAGTGTCAAGCAAGCTGTATGTTTTGGCTGCTGGTGTCCACAGAGTGCTAGAGGGATGTGAAGGCATGATAGAAGCTAATAAAGGCATCAGAGAGACAGAAAGTAAGACTTTCTTTAGTTTTTTCAGGGATCTACCTGGTCTGATCTATCTGGTGTTTTAGGTTAGATTTATTTGACTTCCAGGTTTGATATCGTGCTCCTTCCTGATATGAGTACAAAGGGTAGTGGCACCATGGGTATGTTTTATGGTGTAACTGCTTGCTTTATATACTGCAAATATTTTGTGAAGACCTTTGTTCTTGCGAGGCTGACATACTGGTGGTGCCTTGGAGCACACTGTAGAGAGTGACGGAAGTTTCCAGGGCGTGGGGGCTTTTGTGAAGCTGAGGTTGTTATGTGACTGCAGAATTTTAGCAGGTGAGAAATGGGTCACACATAAACACATGGCAAAGGCAAAGAAGATTAAATTTCAGCTGATACATTACAGTTTACTCAACATGGTTTTGGCAGCTCTGGAGAAACTCTACTTTTCAGCATACTGTACAGTCATCTGACACAGAAATGGACTCTATCTCCTCAGGGCTCAGTTTTAGGCTTTTGAAAATCTAGTCCCTGATTACTCCAATAACAAAATATTGAAATTAGAATACCAGAAAATATTTAGACTTGCCTATAGGATCAGTGAAACTGTATCATAATTTGTTAACAATGGTTGTTAAATAATATAATGATGCAATCTGCTGTGCTTTCTCTCGAGGGAGCATAGAGCATATATATGTAAAATTATGAGTTAAAGAGGAAGTGGACTGCTTTTAAATGAGCAGGAAAAGAATTGTTTTTGCTATTTTTGAGTCCTACTTAAAAACAATATATGGTTAAAATTACAGTCAAATGGGAAGTACAAATATGAATCATACTGAATACGTAGTTTCTGATTCAACTACTTAAATAACGTAATGAATACCAATCAATAGCTAAGTAAATCCCACAACAAATGCTAATCTTTTTTGGTTTAAAAGCCTTAATATTGGTGACATGTTTGAGGTCTGATATTATAAGAATAGATATGGGACAGTGTTGGGAAGACAAAAGGCATGGCGATACTAATGATTTGTTTGTTTGGCAATATCATCGCTTATGCTGAAAATAAATGTACAGTCCTCTTATAGTCACAAGCCAATGGTAAAGAGCATATACAACCAACAACCCACCATGAAATAAATTGAGGTCTCTCGGCAGCCGGCCATAAATTCCCTCCAGAATGCTTTCAAACCCTGCAAGACAAAAATGGGAGCAATCCATCAGTGCTGATACGAAGTGCATGGTTTAGGGCTCCAAGATCAGGGAAAAATCTGCTCTCAAAACTGTTTACTATGTTGTCATTTTCAGGAAGACAAAACAATTTAGATGTTTACAATGAACTCTTTATAAACCTTGAAAAACACACATACATGATTACATGTAGGATGCCATTGTCACAACAGTTTAGATCAGAGGTGTCAAACATGCAGTGTGAATATTACTGTGAAGTTGTTATTACTCCTATTTAAAATTTCCTGGTGTGGTGTTAACAGCACCATTTCACAGGAATTAAAATGTAACTGTAGATACAGGCAATTTCTTTAAATCACAAAAACAAATGTAAAGGTTTATTTTGTGCCTTTTAACGGTGATACATACATACCAGACGATGCAAAGAACATCGAGAAATGCTGAAACTACATCAACCATCATTTGCTAAATGACCAAAATAATTTGTTGTCTGGCAAAATTTTACGGGAGTCTTCTATATTTTGGGTGATGTCGGTTTTTTGCTTCTTTAAAAAAAAAGAATCGAGTTTTTTGTGACAGTGGTCTTATAAATCCGGCCGACTTGAGACCGGACTGGACCGTATATGGCTCATTAGCTAAAACGAGTTTGACACCCCTTGTTTAGACGTTATACACAGTAGGAAACTGACTTACGAATAGGTGCGCCAGCCTTATGCTAACATCACCAGCTACTGTAGCATTAAAAACTGCGTTCAAATTAGAAGAGAGCCCGAGGAAAACCGTTACCGGACACCACTGAAATGAATGCTTTCCTGGCATTGCACTGACATTAGCTTACTTAACGTAACAACAACATCCTCCCGAAATAACAACAGCTTTTAGCTAAGCACTGCTATAGCATAGCCATCGAACAATAAACAATTATAACTGTTTGTTACTAATATAACTGATGGTGTTATGGTACGACGATAGATAAAATTACATATCTTGGTTGGCCATATGCATTATATCTTATTGGTTACAATCCAATTTAAGACAGAAATGAAACGACCTAAGAAAGCGCTAACGCCGGCGAAGGGCTAGCAAGCGCAGACAAAAGGAGCTAGCTAACCAGCTGTCTTGGCTTAACTGAACACTAAAAGCAGCCACATCAGTAGCTGCTAGTTAGCTAGGAACCAACACAGCTCGGGTAGCGATCCCTCTGTTGCCGGACAAAACCATTCACTACATGTTTTATTTTTTACAAAATACTAAACTGCATAAGGACCATACCGACGCAGTGTATCAATTTGTAACGCCAAGAATCAAGTTCCCGCCGAAACAACTTCTTTTCTGCCATGCATCTACACTGCAGCGTCGTCATTCTTCGTCCTCTGCCCCTCTTTCTCCCCTGTTTGCGTTACAGCCGCTGTGTATTGTAACCGCTGCGGTGCATTTGTCGCCGCTACCCGATCCGTACCTGAAACCCAATCCGTACCACGCATGCGCGAACCTTACCTCACTTCCTCTCTTTGCCAACATTTCCTGGAGCGCAATTAAAAAAACAAAATTTAAAAAATGACCGTTGTTGTAACGCAAACAAATTACCAACATGATCAGTGTAAGCAGACTAGATGATTCCTAGAATTATGAAATTACTAACGGCAAATTTATATATGAAAGACTCTGTCCCAACCCTTTACCATCCAAGGTTTTCACTGTATCCATGCAGCCTACTGTGGAGGTCACAAAATATGGCGCTCCAGAGCGGCTGCAGCCAGACCCTTCTCAACATTTTCTGAAGAGTTGGCTCCCTTTCTTCTTGAGTATTTTGCAGAAAGCATAGGAAACCAACAGCTTCCCAGTACAATGAATCAAGGTTTGACCAGGTTGATTCCAAAGCCTAATAAGGAACTATTAATGATTGATAATTGGAGACCAGTGTTGGTCTAGTTACTTGAAAAAAGTAATCAGTAACTAATTACTGATTACTTCCCCCAAAAAGTAATCCCGTTACTTTACTGATTACTTATTTTCAAAAGTAATTAATTACTTAGTTACTTAGTTACTT